CTCATGTTGATTTGATTACTCAACCAGCCAAAAGAACCAGAAGGAAGGGGGACTGTCCCTTTCCCCCACTAGTAAAACTATATATGTGTACATTCATAGAGGATTTCCTCTTAAGATACTAATGATTACAAAGAGAAAAATATTGACTGTACAGTGGGAAACCAGGCACATACCATCTAAACCAAGAGAGCAAAGCTAAAATTAGCAGCAATGGGACAAGTCAACATCACAAGCCTTCTAGTGTACTAATATGACTAACTGAGGAGAATACAATATTATTGTTTTTTCCCCTTAAAAAGCATAGCATAAACCTAATCATGAAGAAACATCTGACAAGTCCAATGGAGGGACAGTCTAGAAAAACAGCCTATTCATTTCACAGATCTCTTCATGAGAAAGTACCTGTATGATAATGCAACGGCCAATGAGGTAATAGCCAAAACCACCTAAAAAGATAAATGGACATTTAAAATGACTTAATTACTTTGCATACTATAAATACATTATGTCAGGCATATCAACCACATTATAAGAGTTAAAGCATATTTTCCTGAAGGTTGCTTTGAAAATAGCCTATTAAAAAACTATGACAATGTAAATTTTCTCTCAAACAATTCTAATAAGAGAATTTTGGCAAAAAAAAAAAATCTGTTGAATATTTAATGGTTTTAATGTAAATTTTCTCTCAAACAATTCTAATAAGAGAATTTTGGCAAAAAAAAAAAAATCTGTTGACAACTTAATGGTTGTTATTTCTCTACCTAGTTCTCTTATGGTACATATATTTGGTTTACTGTCTTTCCTTTTCTTGGGATAGAAACCAATAGTCTCTTCCTCTGGTGAGCTAGGGAGATGAATGGGAAGGGAAAGTGCAGACAAGAGAGGGAGGTGTCAACAGTTTTGTTAATGAGACACGTTTAAGTTCAACAGTGGCCTGCACAATGTTGACCTTGGGATGGCCCTTTGGTACAACTTCTGAGGTCATTCCATCTTAAACTTGATGTTCACTTTATCCAGGATGATCAGGCATTAAGATCTGTTTTATTCTTCATCAAGTCACCTTGTACAGAGTTGGGCCAAATAATCTAGTTCTTATTTTTACTGATACACACATTGGTCTTCATCACTCTGTTGGCCTGGGCAGCCTCTTCCCGTCAAGTGAAAGCCCTTCAAGCATCAAGCAAACTGAGGAACTCTGTGCTCCTCCCCAAATCATCTCTTTGCCTCACACCCAGAGATAATCACTGTCTCCACTTTCGTGTTTATGTGGTTACTAGTCTCCAAAGATGGTTCCCCAGTGAACCGTGCCCCCAGGTAGTCACACCCTTGTATCATCTTTGCCCCTGAATATGGGCAAAATCTGTGAATCATTTCTGACCAATAAAATACATTATTAATGTTGTATGACTTCCAAAGCTGAGTTATGAGATTTGCAACTTATATGTAGTCTCTTAGAATGCTCATTCTTGAGTGACTCCTTCAGAAACCAGCCACCCTTCTGTAAAAGATCCTAAGCCACACGGAGAAGAAACCCAACTGAGCTCCTAGCCAGCTGTCGTCAACTGCCAGAGATCCTGGACACCAAGCCTAGTTGAGTCTTTGGTCCCAGTTACTGTTTAGTCGCATTAGAGATGCCAAGTAAGAACTGCTCAGCTAAGCCCAAACATGAAACCAAGACAGATATTAATCAATTGTGTCAAGCCACTGGATTGTGGGGTGAGTTGTTACATCTCAATGGATAACTAGAACACCTTCTCATTCACTCACTTGCTGTTTTTAACATTTTAACATGTATCATTTAGTATAAACTTAATTATGCAAAAACAATATGGTATCATGCTATACATAGCTCCCTGTGATTTTAAAAAACTCATTCGTTTTAAAATTCATGTTTTGCATATAGCTTTGCTTCATTAATTTTCACTGATGTTCTTCTGTGTTAATATTCCAAAATTTATCCATTGTTTTAGTAATGGACAGACTACTTTCAAATATTTGCTGCTAGGAATATCCGTATACGTATCTCTTGGTGCTCATATGCGTTTATCTAGCATACATATGTAGGAGTGGCACTTCTGTTTTATGACATGCACATGAATAATCTGACATCATTGATCTGTATCAATTTATACTCCCATTAGTAGAGGATGAATGCCAGTTGTTCCACACGTTCCAAAACTCAAGTGTCACCCATCTTAATTTTTGCTCACCTGTACTTGTAAAATCATACCTCCAGTCTAATTTGCATTTTTTAACTAATAGTGAAGTTAACTATCTTTTAATGTTTTGGAGAAAATGTATTTCTTCTGTGAAATAAGTAGCCATGTATTCAGACCACTTCTACTAGGTTGCCTATTAAAAACTTATTTGTATAAATTATTTAAATTTTCCAGATGATTCATTTGTTGGCATGTTGTGGAAAGATGTCCTTCTATTTTGTCTTTTCACTTCCTTTTTGGTATACTTTGATAAGCAGTTCTTTAATGTGAACAAATATATAAAACTTTTTATATAGCTTACCTGTATCCTGAAAACCATTTCCTACCCTGAAGTCATAGTTATTCCTTACATATTTTTCCAAAAGTCAGTTTTGCCTTTCATATATTTGTATGGTGAGAGTAGGCATCCATTCTTTTTATATGTGAACAAACCATTTGTTTTTTAGAGCCATTATTGTAGAGTTTATTCTTCCCTCATACTTGTCCTGTCATGAATACTTATATGTTACCATTTTCCTGGCTTGTTTTTGATAAATACCCTTTTACCAAGTTAAGAAGTTCCTTTCCACTACTGTTTGGTTAACAGTTTTTAACATGAGTGATTATTTTGGTTGCCTTTTCTGTGTTTGATGATATGTATTTAATCTGTTATGATGGTGCATAGCACTTATGTTTTCTAATGTTAAATAAACCATATATTCCCATACCAAAAAAAGAAAAAAACATTTATCATGATGTATTAAACTATGTTTAGGTACTTAATGGTTTGGAATTTTTATATTTCTCTTTATGCATGATAGTGGCCTTCAACTTTCTTTTTTTTGTGCCTCCCTGCTTGATTTTGGTACTGGGTTATATTACATTCATTTTGCTTATACATTATCTCCTCTGTAAGATTCTGAATAAGACTTAAATTGTCTGTTATTACAAGATTGATAGATCTCAACTTAAGAATAACTGGGCCTACTCCGCGACTGCCACTGTGCAGATTGGACTCAGTTGTTCTCGCACCTCGCTCTGCTTCCTCTGCAATCATGTCTGACAAACCCGATATGGCTGAGATTGAGAAATTTGATAAGTCAAAATCAAAGACAGAAATGCAAGAGAAGAATCCACTGTCTTCAAAAGAAACAACAGAAGCAAGCAGGCAAATTGTAATGTGGCACGCACCACCAGCATGCACTGTAGGTTCTACAAGCATTGCCTTATTTTACTTTTTAGCTGTTTTAATTTGAAAGATGCATAGAGGTTTAAGTTTCAGTGACTGCCCTGGTCCCTTTTCATATTCAAGAACTACTGACAACGACATCCGCACCTGCCTCTCCTACCTGCCTGTCTGGCTGGCAGAGAAGGAAAAGAACTTGCATGTTGGTGAAGGCAGAAGCTGCGGGGAACAGTGAAATCTAGAGTAAAAGCCAAGCTGGTCCAAGGTGTCCTGCAGGCTGTAAAATGCAGTTTAATCAGAGTGCCATTCTTTTTGTTCAAATGACTTTATTAGAATGCATTTTTAAAATATGCAGTTTTAAAACCTGAAAAAACTGGGCCTTGTATTTTTCTGTGATTTTATTGTATTATTATTTACTATTGGGGGGGGGTGATTTTAGGACTATCTATCTATACTTGGAGAATTCTAGGGTCTCAATGTTTGTGTCCCCTCAAAATTTATATGTGGAAATCCTAAGCCCAAACGTGATGGCATGAGGAGACAGAGCCTTTGGCAGGTGACTGTCATGAGTGCGGAGCCCTCATGAATGTGATTAGTGTCTTTATAAGAGGCCCCAGAGAGATCCCTCACCCCTTCCATCACATGAGAACATGAGAAGGCACTGGCTATGAAGCTGATATTATGCCCTCGCCAGAACACAACCACGCTGGTGCCTCGATCTTGGACTTTGCTGCCTTCAATAGAAATGTTTCCATTTATAAGCCACGCGGTCTGTGGCATTTTGTTATAGCAGCCCAAACAGGCTAAGACAGAAGTTATTTTTCTTAGAATTTCCCCAGGAATTACAGAGAATTTAAAAGAATGGCTATAGGGCTACACTGTTAAAATAATTTTTAAACATTTATTAGCAAATTAACTTGCAAAAGCAGTTGTTTTCTGAATAATCTTTCTCTGCTTAATACAACAAAGGTAATCACTTTATAAGAAAACCAAGTGAAATACCATGCATTTAGTGATTTAAAATAAAGTGACTTTAGATCTGAATCAGAGATTGAAACAAGTAGTCAGGGAGAAAACTCACAGGTCCATATACCTGCATAGTTTACTGAGTGATTTTCAAGTGAATGGCTTAGAAAGCAAAGAAACAACCTAAAAGTTTTAACAATCACCAAATACACAATTTGCTTTTAAACAATTAAAAAAAATTTTAGTGACAGTGAGGTAGTTACAGGTCACCTGCTTGCATTTCTCTAAAATATTCTTCTTAGCAAAGTGGTGTGCATAACACTTAAATATAGTTTCAAAAAATAGATTCCCAGATTAATCTGAAGTCTAGATTTTATGGCTGCACTTTTACATATGTCAACATGCTTCCCAGTGATGCTTGTGAAAGCTAGTGGCTGTTATCACACATCACCAGAAATAAAATAAAATACTGACCCTTTGATCTTACAAATTTTCCATTTTAGGGTCAGTAATAACTTAAAAACACATGTGGAAAAATTTTTTTTATAGCTTTCCTAATATTCCAAAGGATATCCTGCATCAGGAAGTCTCTGATGTTTGATGAGGTCTAAATTCTGAAATTTAACCCACAATTAACTACTTTTTATCACTTTCTCCCCAAGACGAATTCTTTGATATTCAATATGAAATGAACTTCAGTTGGAAGATTTTCCACATGCATTTTATTTATAGTTTTTCTCCAGTATGAGTCCTCTGATGATTAGTAAGAGATGAGCTCTGACTAAAAGCTTTCCCACATTCTTTACATTTATAAGGCTTTTCTCCTGTATGAATTCTCATGTGTGTCATAAGGGAAGAACTTTGTCTGAAGGCTTTTCCACATACTTTGCAGTTATATGGTTTCTCTCCAGTATGAATTCTCTGGTGCTGAATTAGAGCTGAGCTTTGGTTGAAGGCCTTTTCACAGTCGTTGCATTTATAAGGTTTCTCTCCAGTATGAATTTTTCGATGCGTATTAACTGCAGAATGAGAACTGAAGGCTTTTCCACATTCTTTACAATTATATGGTTTCTCTCCAGTATGGATTCTGTTATGTATATTAAGCCGTGAAATCCAGGAAAAAGCTTTCCCACATTCGTTACATTTGTAGGGTTTTTCTCCAGTGTGAATTCTTTGATGTTGTATAAGAGCTGAGCTTTGGCTAAAGGCTTTCCCACATTCTTTACATGCATAAGGCTTCTCACCTGTGTGAATCCTCTGATGTATAATAAGGGCTGAATGGTAACTGAATACTTTCCCACACTCATTACAATTAAAGGGTTTCTCTCCAGTATGTATTCTATGGTGTCTACTTAGCCGTGATATTGAAGTAAAGGCTTTCCCACACTGAGTACATTCATACGGTTTCTCTCCAGTATGAATTCTATGATGTTGAATAAGAGATGAGCACTGGCTAAAGGCTCTCCCACATTCATTACACTTATAGGGCTTTTCTCCAGTATGAATTCGCTGGTGATTATTAAGGGATGAACTACCTTTAAATGTTTTCCCACATTCATTACACTTATAAGGTCTCTCTCCAGTATGCATTCTCTGATGTCCAATGAGAGAGGTAGTAAAACTGAAGGCTTTCCCACACTCATTACATATGTAAGGTTTCTCTCCAGTATGAACTCTCAGGTGCTGAGTTAGGGATGAGCTTTGGCTGAAAGCTTTCCTACATTCTTTACATTTATAGAGCTTCTCTCCAGTGTGGATTCTCTGATGTTTACTCAGGGAAGAACTGTGGAGGAAGATTTTCCCACAGATGTTACATTTGTAACATTTTCGCACTGTATTGACTTCCAGTTGTTTAAATAGAATTGAATAGTGTTGTAAATGGGGCTTCCTTCCTCTGGAAACAATTCTGGATTTTCTAATAATTGATGATTTTAGACCAAGATTTTTCTCAACACCTACTAAGCTCCTCTCTTTCGTGTAGGTTTTCTTGATGGTAACCAAGACTTTCCTGAAAGGTTTATTCTTTTTGCCCTGCTGCTTCTCTAGCTTGTCCTCACTTATGTAGGTTTTCCCCAACTTGAAGTCCAAAGTACTATCATCTATGAGTTTATTCATTACTTCCTGATAGTCTTCTTCGGAATTTGTGGTCTCAAACAAGCTCTCCCATCCTAAAATAAACAAAACATGTAAGTCTCCCTTGCTCTGGGAATAATGAAAAGTGACATCAAAATATATAAGGATCACTAACAAATATATCCTTGAAATCTTAGAAAAAGTAGGCAAGAAGGGCAGGAAAAAGCAGCAGGATGAAGACCCGCCTTGGTGAGAAGAGTCTGAAGAAAATGACATAGAGGTAGGCTGAGGAACTCATGAGGAAGCTCTTCTAGGAGCCAGGCCTGCTTGAGTGGCTCAGGTCAGCAGGGAGCAGGGCATTTCTGAACACAGTGGAATGTCGGTCCTCCGCTTCATCTCCATGTTTGTCACCAGGCATCAAGGTAAATCCAAGACAAAACTGGAGGGGCTGTGAAAAAGTGAAAGAGCTATTGTCCCTATAAAGCTCTCTGAAACACAGGGCGTCAACTAGGTCTGTTTTGGGACTCATTCAAATAATGTTGGGATGGACATGAACTCACTCAAAAAATATTTCCTGAGTGCCCACTATGCACCATGCAAAGGTCAAGACTCAGTATTACAGGGATTGTGCCTGATAAGAGTCCAATTTTTACAAGGTTTACAATCTCACAGAATACTGACAATGACCAAGTAAACAAATAAGTGCTAGAAAGTGGTAAGAATTGTAAAAACAAAACAAAACAACAGGTGATATGTAGTAAGACTGAATAAGCTGATATTTTAAACTGGGTGATGAGAAAATAAAATTGAACATGAGATCTAAATAATAAGAGCTGGCCATGTAAAAATGTGGGCATAAAAATTATTCTAGTCAGAAAAAATAATAAAAAAAAAAAAACACCACAAAGGCCGTAAGGCAGAAATAAGTTTTCTGTGTTTGAAGAACATAAAGAAGTCCAATGTGGCTTACGCAAGAGGAACAAGGGAAGAGTGCTATAAGGTGAAGAGGTGGGCAGGGGTCATATCATGTGAGGTCTCTTGTAAGATATAGGAAGGCATTTGGAATTTCTTCTAAGGATCACTGGGGGTTAGGAGGGACTTGATAATTGTGTTTAAAAAGGATCACTATGGTTTTGTGACAAACAAACTGTAATTTGCGGGTGGGGAAAAGAGAACAAGGGCAGATGCAGAGCAGCCAATTAGGAGGCCACCAAAACTTCCTGGATGGAGATGATAGCAGTTTGCAGTGGCACAGTAATGGAGGCAGGCACAGTGGGTTGTTTTGGAGGTAGAAATGACAAGTATTTTTACCTATGAATACAGTGTACAGAGTAAGTGAAAGAAAGGACTCAAAAATGATGCTTAGCTTCTGGCTTGGACAGCTTGATGGAGAGTGGTGCTATATAATGATATACTGGGGAATACTGGGAAAAAGAATACATTTTTGAAAATAACCTCTGTCTACTTTTTTGATCACTTAGTATACAATGCAAGAAATGGAATCATTGATTCAAAAGGAATAAATGTATTCTACGAAAAGAACTTTTATTTCCTTAACCAAAAAGGAAATACACAGTTGTAATTTAACACAGAAAATTATAAAAATATAGTTCACCAATAAACACATCATGCAAATACAATCACTGTTATATACGGAATTTAGCTCACCAGAACTTTTCTGTATATTAAAAAACACTTTTACTTAAAAATAAAAACAGGTTGAAACTAAGTTTCTCCCTTCCCTACTTCACTTAAAAAAAAGAAAAGCATGGGCCTCTCTCCATGTCAATAAATGTAGGTTAACACTATCATTTTAATGACTATGTAAGATTCCAATGTACGAATGCATTGTAATTTACTAAATCCTCTTTTGAGAGCCATTTAGCTTTCTTTTTCTCCAGTAATCCCTCATGTTGTAACAAACATTCTTTCACACCACCTTTGCAACTTTGCACAATTATAGAATTATTTTCTTAAGATAAATTTCCAGACCTGGAATTGATTTTAATAAAGTCAGACAGTCCTAAAGAAAGACTGTACCAATCAAAGTCCCACTAAAGATACTGCTCACCACTTAGAGCAGTAGCAAAAACATTGGATATGTATTTCTTAATTTATGGTAATTTATAAGGAAAAATGGTGTCTTATTTTTTTGTTTACATTTCAATGACTATAATGAGGTTGAATAGTTTTTCAAAAAATCCTATGTGAATGTTCAGTTCATATACCTTGCTTTTTAATCACAACATTCACATCTTTGTACTATAATTACTCTCTGGACATCTTCTCTCTTTCTCTTTATATCATACCTTTGTATTCTATAGCCATAGCAGCAATATTAATAGGGAAAAACTCGAAACTAAAATTTCCAAAAGATTGTTCAATAAAATATAGTTTAACAATACAACAGAATTCCTTCAAAGAGGTAGGTCTCTATTTAATGAAGGTTGAATAATTGAAAGACAGTTATAAAGACTTGAGAACAATATGTGTAATTAATCTCTGTTTCTCTCCTTCTGTGTGTGCCTGTCTTTCTCATGCAATATTCACGGTCTGAAAGGATAAGTAGTAAAATAACTGCAAAGGTTCACCATGGTTGGTAAAATTTCAGGCGAATCTCCTTCTTTAGCTCCTCTTTTTTACAACACTATGTATATCTTATACTATGTATACCTTATAAAAACAAAAACAATTTTTTAAATGCTTATTAAAGAATTAGTCAATTTGATACTAACGATTTTTTGGCCAACTAGAAAGCTCAGAGCCAAATCTGAAACTCACCCGAGGTTACCCACTCTGTTTACAACAAGTCTTCTTTATTTTCTAGGGTTCTAAATGAATTTCTATTTTATTATGTCATTACTCTTATAGTCAACTTCCTTGAATTGTTGGTGGAATGTGGCAGAATATATGTAAGTATGTAGTAGAAAAAAAAAAATCCCTGAAATGAAAAAGACTTTGATCTTCGAAGCAAAGGGCCCAGTGAGTACCGAACATTAACGATAAAGAGGATGTCCTGAGAGATTCCGGACAAAGGCAAAGAAAAAAAAATGTTTTTTATACTGGAAATGGAGGAAAGAGAATCACATTAATGGGGGCTTTTTATTAAAAACACTAAGAGCCCAAAGACAATGGAGCAAAATTTGGACAATTCTGATACCAGAATTCTAGATCCAAATGTAACTCCCACAGGAGAGGTAAAAGAATTGATTTTAAACATGCACTAATACAGCACCCATGAACCTTTCTGAAAACATTTAAGAAAATGTTCTGATTAAACCAAAGGAGAAAAGCTGAAGACAGAATTCATGAAAGGAAAACACAAGACTAAGCTGACACAGAGAGCCTGTCTCCTGCCATTGGGAAAAATAAATACTGGAAAAGCAGAAAAACTAAAAAGAGAGCCATCTTTGTGCCAGAAACAAGGACCAAATTCAAAGTAGAACAAGAGAGCGAGAGCTTATGATTCAGCAACCCACAGGGATTCAGAGATTGACAGCTACGTCCTGGCAGCCAGAATCTGGGACATGTTATCTTGAAATTTTTCACACAGAAATTCAGGAAAATGGCATGACTATCTACAAACCTTCTGCCTTCATTTGATAATTGTTATCATTTTGCTACCCCTGCTTTCTCTCCCGTGCTATATATAAATACACGATGTTTTATATAAACACAAACATCTGCTTTTTCTTTTTAGCTGAACCATATATAATTTGCGGACAAAAAAAGTCCAAGCAAAAATCCAACACCAAAGAGTGGGGGATGTACTTAGTGTTAAAAGGTATGTATGAACTGCAAAAGCAAAATAATTTAAGAAAATAATCAATCCAGGAAAAGCAAGGAAAAAGGGGGAATATATGAATTACAAGCCTTTACACACTATATACTGCATTACATATTCTGCAATCAAATTACAAGGGACATATTAAAAAAGTGCAACTCATATTGGGAGAATGCAACTCTCCCTCTGAACCTGCTGTATCAAGTACTCACAAGGCAGAGGGCGAGGGAACATACACCCTGCTCCACATGGCTGCCTGGCCCGGCATATCAACAAGAGTCCCGGTCAATGTCAGCAGAGAGCAGCCTCTTCCCAAACTGGCTGATGATGCTATGCCTATTCCCCAGTGACTCACTCACCTAGACATGCACCACAAGAAACTCCGTTTTCCACCATCCAGGGGTCCTCCCCTTGCTGTAACTGGAAGATAACCTTTGGTTTGGAAAAGAGAATCCCTGTTGGTGAGCAAGAACAAGAGAATGAGTCCATGGCCCAGACATGAGCAGCCATCGTGGCATACAGATCCCACCCCCGGGTCTCTGGGCCAGACGGACAGTCCAAGGAAGGAGAGAGGTGTGGTCTCAGAGGGGCTCCCAGAGGATGGCCAGGAGGTGTCTCAAGGAAAAGTCAGAGCTCTGGCTGTGCGCTCCTAAGCTGGAACTCCTGGGAGATGCAGGGGAACAAAGTTCAGGTGACAGGAGACAGGAGATGCACAGAAAGGGTATCTGCCCCCAGCTCTAGCAAGCTGAGAACCTTCACAGCAGCTGAGGGCAACAGCAAGTGCCACTCTGCAAGCCCCATTCTTGGTGGTGGGCTGCACCTGGCCACACCCTCCAACATCCCCCTTGGAGAGAGTGCCAAGATGCTCCCCAGCAGCTTCTGCGTCACAAGGAAGGATCCTCACCCAGTGACACCAGGGAGCTGTAGTTCTCCAGCATCACCTCCCGGTACAAGGCTCTCTGTGCGGGGTCCAAGTACAGCCACTCATCCCGGCTGAAGTGCACAGCCACATCTCTGAATGTCACGGACTCCTGTAAAGACAAACCCACTTCTGCTCGACCAGGACCATCCCCAAAAGGAGATGACTGAGCAGCAACCCTGTCACCACGCAGGGTTCCAAGCATTTCAAGCCAAGTAGCTCCTGATACTCCGTAATTATAGGGCACATGTTTACCACATGCCACCGGGGGTGAAGCGTGTG